GGGGCGATCAACTCCCCTCCATCCCGCGCTACCACCGAAAGCCGTAACACATGGGGTGGTGGGCATCCTGAACCTGGGGGGCATCCACCGACTGAACTGATAATATCTCTCTCCAAACCAGCCACCCCAGGTCCAGGACCCCGGTACAAACAATTAGGGCTAGGGGAGGGGACGGCCCTTACCCTGACCCCGGCATCTCCAGCTCCATGGAGCCCGTTCCCCACCCCGTCCCAACCGATACCACGGCGGAATGTCCGCCGGTCCTCCGCAAGGACCCCGGGGAATCTCCGCCATGTTGGGCCACCACGTCGCTCACCGATGGATGGGTGGCTTGGCGGGCGCCCTCAGTGAATCCAATACTTGGATTCTGAGGATTCAGCCACACTTCTCTCCGGAAGCCCAACCCCCATGCTCATGACTACCGAGCAACGTGGGGCGACGCTCGCTCGCGCAGATCAGATTCCCGCAGTGGCGTCGGTCGGCACCGATCCACTCCGTCTCACAAGCATGCCGCAATCCAAGACGGCTCTGATCGATGGCGCCACCCATCTCGAGTCCCATCTGGTAACGCAGCATGCTGTCCATGTCCTTGTCACTGGCCCACATATTGTGAGCCCGCATCCAGTCCCGGACAAGCCGGTAAAGATAGTCCACGAGGGCTGGATGTTCAATCGCCGCTGGAAGGGAAGAAGAGTTAGCATATGATCTGAAAGTTAGGCAATGGTGAGGGTTGTATGATATCAAAGTGCAAGGAAACAGAGAGCGGGGTGAAGCTGAAGGTGTAAAGGAACTCAAAGTGATATAAAACTTACCGAAGAGACAAATCGCAAGGCACCGGCGGAACCGGTCCTTCTCTTCGGCGTCCTCGAACCGCACAATATGTGCGATTCGAGGTGAACATCGCAGCTGCAGGTGACTGGCTGGATCGTCCTCAACCTTCACCAGGTCGACCCACTCCGCGAACACGAAGTAGTCACCTCGGTCGCGGGCAGAACTGAACCACAGCGCCTGACGATGGCGCTCAGGTTTGTCCCACTGGTGAAGGTTGGGAAGCATTGGTGGACCCACGAGAAGGTCGTGAGAGATCGAACTGGCCAAGCACTGTTCCAGGACTGGGAGCTGCGTACAAACTACCCAGTGCCTCTTGGCATCCTCCCACAGGTGGTCCTTGCCGCAGTAGCGGACCAAGGAAAACGGTCCGCACTTAGGGCAAACAACGGAGACCCCATCCCCCAAACAACAGAGGACTTCGCAGAATGGCTCATGGCAAGTAACGCCGAGCGTGCGCAAGTCCAACAGTAATCCAGGGGTGGGGCCCCGGTGTTGCCGAACTGCTTGGCTGTGGGAGTTAGTTCATTATCCTCAGACAACTCGGGTGGAGACGGAGAATAACCTTCCACTCCATTGACCTGAGAAGAAGCAGGAGAGACGGGGAGCTCGACGTCCGCATCGCGAGCTTGCTGACGCTTCATCAATTCCCGAAGCTTCCGTTTACCTTGCTTCTTCTTTTTGTATACAATCCTCTTGCCAGGTCGGCTAGACTCAGCTGAAGTTTGGTCATCTGGCTGGATGGCGCCATCTGAACTGGGGTCATCTGTCCCAAACCCAGCCGAGTCTGTGGTAGACAAGGCAGACGAGGCACGGGGGTCAATGGAGGGTAGGTCGTTTGGGACGAGGATGTCATTTCCTGGCCCTTGTAGAGCCCTATGGTTCTCGGTTAGCTTGTATTTAAGTAAAAACATATAGAAAATGTGATTGCATACCTAGACTGGCCACACTGAAAGACTCACTTCGACGCAAGACTGGCTCCTGCGTCTCGTGATCGCCACGGTACTCTTCGGGGTCTAAACAATAGTCAGCAGGTGTATCAACAACGATATAAATAGTAGAGAGTTTACCAGAAAACCACACCTCGTCCCTGTTGTTCGAGACAGGGCACCGAAGCCCAGCCTCACCTCCTGCGGAGTCAAGAATAGCTCATCCGAAGTCGCTGCTGGCTCGTTCTCTTCCGCTTTCACCGACTCTTCGCCATCATCCTCATCTATTCTCCACAAGGCGCTCGTAGGCGTGCAGAACGATGACATTGTGGATGAGGGGAGGGAAGTGCGAGGGGGAGAGGTGGGTTCGAGCTGTCTCGAATGATGGAGACAATGAAGTAGTCAAGTCGTTGGGCATAGTAGGGAACGCGGGAGCGCTTATTGTTTGTGTTTGTTGGCCAGCAACTGCCGCAAGTTGCTGCTTAGCCGGGCCATCCTGTAGAGCGATGCCATGCACTCCCGGAAGTAGGTCGCCACGCTGGTCGCTGCCATGCTGGTCGCTACCACGTTGCTCTGTGATACGGTCTGTGATGCGGTCCGTAATATTATCTATGATGTGACCTGTGACACGGTCTGCATCCTTCTTTCCTGTGCTGGAGCTAGACAAACCAGGCATGCACTTTCCCTTTCCCTTACCCTTTCCCTTGCCCTTGTACCTCTTGTTGCTCTTCTGGGTATCAATCGTGAGTGTAGAGACCTTCTTGGCCAACTCTTTCTGGGTCGCCCCATGCTGGGCTGACTCTTGTTCAGTCAACTCATGCTGGGGCGACTCATTCTGGGTCGCCTCTGGATGGGTCGACTCTTGTTCAGTCAACTCATACTGGTTCAACTCATGGCTCAACTTATGCTGGGTCGCTTCTTCCTGGGTCGCCTCTTTCGGAGGCAAGTTTTGACTTCCCATTTTCTCCATCGTATGTTCTCGCCCTAACACTGACTGTTCTGGATGTGGCATAACTGACACATCTGGCTTTTCTTCCTCAGAGTTCTCTTCTCCGGCTGTGGAATGCTCGCGGAGTCTCTTTTGGGATTTCTTTGATGCCTTCTTCCCTTTGATCTTCTTCTGAATGGAGAAACGGGAAGTTTCATCAACAAGCAACTTGTTAAACAGTTTCTTGTCTATGTCTTTTGTCTTTGACATCAGCCATTGAATGCGCAGCCAAATCTGGACCGGATATGCCATCCATTTGCCGTAAGTGTTCTGTGATTTGTTAGTTAAACCCTAAAAATATCGATGAAATTCTTATACTGACAGGGTCTTTCTTAGAGATCTTTTGATAAAACTTGTCACGCTCATCAACGATGACCATCATCTGCTCCACCGGTCTTCCATTTCTACCACTCACGAACTTGAACTTCATGGTGGGCGACTTCTCTTTCGCTTTCATCCAGCTTACTCGGCAGCCGGATGTCTCCCATGGAGTTGTCCATTTGATATGATAATTATGTCTCTTCATGTTCTTTGACTCTCGAAGAGCCGGTGCGGGACCAGTCTCGATATTGCTCATGGCAATCCTTTTGGGGCACTTCGAATAGTGCCTCGATCAAGCCCATAATCCCCATCATGCCGTCTGGGTAATTGGTGGGGATCCTGAAGTCAACGCGGATGATCTCGGAGTTTTCAATGACTGCCTCAAGGTCGCACTTGGGGTTACCATTGGGGTTATTCTCTATGGCAAATTTCGGGGCAGGGGTCCGCCAGTTGTGAATCTTCAGCCTCAACTGCCCATTCCCCAAAGTGAGCCCGGCCTGTCTATCCATCCAATTCTCTGACATGGGCTCACTTTGGGAAATGGGCATGTCGAGGTGTTCAAAAGGCTCTCTTCAGCCTCAGGTGGTTCTCGAGATTGTCAAGGAAGGTACCTCGCTGCAGGATGCATTAGTCAAATGCAAGGTGGGTAATCTGTCTTCACAAGATCGGTATTCGAGACCATGAGGGGATGTGATGACGCCTCCAAGACAGATTACTTACCAAGATGTGTCCTTGGGATACTGGAAAGCTGTGAGTCTGGTGTCACAGGAAATATTGTGAAAGCTATCTTGTATCATCAGCCAAGGTCCTTGCGCGTCAGTGAAGATCCAACGCGTGAAGCTGCACGACAACTTACTGTGTGAGTTTTCAAAGCGTCGATGGCATGCACTATGAGGTGAAATGAGCTTTTGTTCTCTGATACAATGGTGTTAATCTCTCAAAGAGATGGGGAGTGATATGCACGAACCAAAGCTATTGGGTTTGCGGGGTGGGAAGGGTTGAAAGGAAAAAACTTGGGAAGGGAACAGGATGGAGAGAAAGAACGACAACAAAAAAGGATAGGCTCTGAATTTGGACAAAGCAAAAAATGGCCCACCTTCGAGCTTCGACAACAATCAACAATGGATGCAAACAAACTGTGCACGTGCTACCGCCACTGAGCCTTAGACCGGTAATTGATACTGACCAGGCGATTGGGACAGAAATGAGGATACACACATGTAACTCATCCCACACAGTTCAAGGCATCTAAGCATAAGTTCAAAGCTCTTCGATGGTGTCTTAGAAGGCTCAGATTGCTACTATTATGCTGTGGCTCCAGAGCCTCATATTGAATCTGCTCCAGACCAGAAGATTATGTCGGTTTCCTGCCCAAAAGAATCAATACACAACACGGAGTATTGTATTGAGCAAACATCCCGATCCCACCTAAGAGACTTCCTTGTGATGCTAGCGTTATGTTCCTTCCACACCATTCAAGCTATCAGCGATAGCCCACGGGAGCAACTTCTGGTCGAAACTCAGCTACACTAAAACGAAGTCAAAGAACTGACATGGAGGCTCGGAGGAGGCTTCGCGACGCGAAACAAGCATGATGTCCTTCAGCTGGTCTTGCTGACTATAGGTCTCCAACAAGAGCAGCTTCTGCTCAACACCTGCCTTACACCAGAAACCAAAAAAGAAAAACTGACATGGAGGGTTCAAGACGCCAAGCAGCCATGTCCTCGACCTGAGCTTCTGCTCGATACCCAACTAAAACAAAAAGAGTTGTCGAAAAACTGACATGGAGGCTCGGAGGAGGATTCAAGAAGCAAAAAAAACATTTCCTTGAACTACATTTATCATCTCTTAGCTATAGGTTTAGGAGGATAGTTTCATATCTGAGGCGAATGGTGCTTATTGTCAATCTTCCTTCCGTAGAAGTCCCGGAAACACACCTGAAGCATACTCCTTGAGAAGAGATTGAAAAATATACCACGGAAGGCTAGTAGAGTAATCATAGATTATTGTTGTATTATACATAAACAAAACCCAAGAGGTCAATTGGGAGCTCACCTTCTTGTCATGTAATTCAAAGCATGCGGCTGCAAGTCGTTAGGGTGCGAGTCTGTCACGTGTGGTCACGTTTCTTACCGACTCGGTGAATATCACGTGATGCTTCTCTTTCAAGGCGACCACAAGTCGAATAAGCACTATTTCACACACTGTACCCCTTGGTGGACTGACTAAATAACCCATTATTACGATGGAACATATTGCAATATGATTACTTATCGTTCGATTACCAAAAGTTGTATACATGGAATGTATGCTCTGCACTTGAGTGGGCGAGTCTATGCATCCATTCACACCAAGTCACCGATGTTGAGCGGCAACAGCCATAGCAGAGACTAACCCCATAGAAATGCCAACAACATACGTCTCATCTACCTACATGACACAGGATAAAAATATCCGTACGGGGTACAAACATGATGTTAGATCAGCCAGCCCTCGCTGTCCGGCTATTGGCTCTCAGTCGTGGGCGGCTAAGCGCCCATGGAGGCTATATTTGGCTGCCTGTCCACTCCGGCGCTTTCGACACTCACAGTAGCCAGTGAGATGCTTTGATACTTCATGAAACAAACCGTTGCACAGATACCTTGTCTTCAGGCTTTATTTTTATATTTTCTTTGTTTCGAAATGGTTATGGTTCACTCTGATTGGGGCTGTCTTGACTATACGGGGTTGCCAAGGTCCATCAAGCTGCTTCTTTATGAGCAACATTGGGCTATTGTGATGTCTGCTGCCGCCCAGGATGTCTGACAATTTCCAGGTGACGTTTGTTGCCTGCTATATTTGAAGATTCATTGTCCCTTGTTTTATTCTGATTCTATTGTTCTCAGTCCACCCGGTCTATTCATCTATTGATGTCCCCTTTCATTCAACGTCTACAAGAAATCATATATACCATGTCCTTCCACTAGCTCGGCTTTCTCCTCTGCTCTCTTTATCCTCTTTTGAGAAATCTCCATTTTGATGCAGGCTTTGCATATTTTTCCTTGATCCAATTACGCCTCCAAACATTCCTGGTCCTCGCTGGACGATACCACACCTGAAACATTTGACAAACAGAAAAAAAAGAATCGTTACAATGGTATTCACCCGAACCGGTCGGTCGGTCTTTCCACTGCTCCCGCCTTATGGGGCTCACGATTCAAGCACGGGGCGGATAATTCCTCTACATCCAGATGGCCTCACTCCCTATCTCGGTCTGCGAGCTCGGCTTTCACAAGTATGGATCAATCGATGGACAATACTTCTACTGCTTGTTCTCTTCCGCGTGTTGATTGCAGTTGGCGACTTGCAGTCCAACATGGCATCCGCCAAGCGTGAGGCGCTCTCTGCATGCACGTCGGTGGAGTCTATGGGTAGCGCGATGGCTTCAATGCCCTACTACCTATCCAAGGGTACCAACGAGCTTGTGGCTTCCTCGGTTGATGAGGCTGTTTCCGCCCTGAAGTCCGTGTTGTTGCTGACTATCACGGGCGTCGGGGAGATTCTCTGGTTCGTCATCAATATGATGTACTCCACCTACGCCTGTCTCATTACGATGGCCGTCCGTGGCACGGTAGGAGCGGGCATTGAATTGATCAAGGAAGCTACTGAGTGGATCAACAAAACCCTCACGACAATCAGTGGTGACATTGAGAGTACCGTGGACAAATACAAGGACGAACTCAACTCATTTCTCGAGACAATCAATAAAGTGGCCAGCGTATTCTCGGACGATCCTAGTCCAATCGACCTCAACAGCTCAATCACTACGCTAGAGAATCTGTCTCTTCCGTCGTCAGTCAACCGGACGGTCGAAAAATTAGACAGCCTTGTCCTTCCCAACTTCAAAGAGATCCAGAATTACACCAAGACTCTCTTCGAAACGCCCTTTCAAGAAGTCAAAGATTTGGTAAATGAAACTTTGGGCACTTACAGTTTTGATCGGTCCGCTCTCCCGATCCCTGCCAAAAAACAATTGACTTTCTGCAACGACAACAAAGGAATAAATGATTTCTTCAACGGAGTCACTGCGTTGGCACTAAAGGCACGCCAAATATTCATTATTGTTCTCGTCATTGCTGCCATATTGGTGTGCATTCCAATCGCATGGCAAGAAATCCGCCGATGGCGCTCAATGAAAGAACGCTCCCAGTTGGTTCGCAGGGAAGCCCACGATCCAATGGACGTTGTCTATATTGTCTCACGGCCATATACCGCTGCTGCAGGCATCAAGGCAGCAAGCCACTTCAGTAACAGCCGGCGGCAGATCCTCGTGCGATGGGCCATTGCCTATGCAACATCCATGCCTGCTCTTTTCGTACTGGCTCTTGCATTAGCAGCATTATTTTCTTGTCTGTGCCAATACCTGCTCCTGCACTCGGTGAAGAAAATCGTTCCCGCACTGAGTGCTGAGGTAGGAGAATTCGCAGACAAGGTCGTGGACGCACTGGAAAGCGCCTCAACAGATTGGGCTACCGACGCAAACAAGGCCATCACTAACCTCGACACCGACCTCAACCACAATGTCTTCGGCTGGGTGAACAGCAGCACGCAGGCCATAAATGGGACTCTCAACTTCTTCATCTACAATACATCCAGCGTTCTAAACGAGACCTTCAAAGGCACCCTCCTGCAAGAGCCCGTCTACGAGCTATACGAGTGCCTCATCGGCCTCAAAGCAGAGGCCCTCCAAAAGGGTCTGAACTGGGTAGCCGAGCACGCACACATCACCCTTCCCACTCTCCCGAATGATACATTCTCCGCCGGTGCCGCCTCCAGCATCAACGACACCTCCAATCCCTCCGATAGTTTCCTCGCCGATGCAGGCGATCAAACAGCCAACAAAATCACCGAGGTCGTCATCAGCGTGATCAACAAACTGGAAGCAGGCCTGCGAATCGAAGCCATCATCGCCACCATCATTCTCTTACTTTGGGTATTCATCGCCTTGATTGGTATAACTCGCGCTATGATGCTTTTTCTGGACCCGCGACAAACACCGCGGCGAGGGAGGCAAGGGTCATATCCTAGATCCTGTGCCTAGAGGCGGACCACCACCCCATGATGCGAATGGGTTTGCTGAAGTTCCACTCACTGCTATTCCGAGGAATATGTCTGCGGATGGACACATTGCTCCCCAGTATACGGCGGCGGCGGCACCCCCCGTGCCAGTGCGGAATGAGCCGTCGTCATATGGTAATGAGAAGGTTGGTTTTGCAGGGGAAAGGGCGTTGCAGTTGGACTCGGGTCCTGATCTGAGGGGAAGTAGCTATGTTGAATATGATGTGAAGCGATGATGGGAAATATATTCCTGTCTTCTTCCATCTTTTTTTGATCTTCGCTGTTCTCAATAGGACTATGTTCTTTGTCCTCCCTCTGTCTTTGTGGCATCTCCAGCATTTCATTGGGCTTGCCTTGGTTATTTGTTTCTATATGTGGGGTGTTTTCTGTCATAATAATTCCCAGTAGAATATTTAAAATCAAGAATGCCACTTGGTTTCAAAAATATGCA